TATGTATGAGGCATAAACAGGAGATCTGAAAGGGTATTGAAAAAAGTTAGGAACCACAAAAATGAACATGAACCATTTCTGAACAGTAAATGAAAGGAAAATTATTGAAAACATTCCATTCATTTATTTGCAAATTAAATCTATATATGTGAGTGAAAATAGCTGGATTGGGAAGCAAGAAAAGCTTACATGTTACCTGCCAAATATAAAAGACCTAGTCATAAAACAACACAGCTGTAAGAATATGCAAATAAAGTACAAATGAATTTAATTAAAACAACAAATAATCCCACTGATAAGATTTCAAATCTAAGCTCATAATTATTGTTTTGAAGATTTTAAATTGAAAGCGCGAAACAATAAAAACAGCTATTTTAAGAACAGGATATTCTTGTGGCAATAAACACTAACACAGCAACAAAGTCAAAAGAAATGGTGATGCAGAGAGAACACCAAACCTTAGTAATAAATCATGACCAAGTGTAACCATAAACACAAGAGGAAAGTTTGGAAGCCTCAATGTAACACCTGTAGTGTTTTTCAGCCCACAGTGAAGATTATCATGCTTGAGCAATAATGACATTGACAATTTAAATATTTAAGCAAAAGAAATTCTTCTTTCAATCAGATGTGGACTAAAATACAAAAAGAAAAAATTCTTAACTTCAAGTATTTTTGAAAGATCCAATTTACATTGAAGGGTTAATCCTTACCCATTTTTGCTCGACTTCCACTCCACTTTGTTGATTGGTTTGCAAGGGTCTGGTCGACCATCTTTGGATATTTTTGCTAAACAGTGAACAATGAACATTATGTTATTTACAAGGATTAAGTGTATAAATCTTTGGTATTTATTTCGGTTTACATTAATGAACATGAAGTATTGTTTACCATCATGCAATGACAATTGGGGCACATTCAGGTTCATACACTGTACTAACTAGGTTGGTCCAACCATGAGGGGGATTCTTGCTAAAGTGCAATCAGTGAAATCAGTTCAATCAGCACATTACAGCTATCCACCCCCAGCTGGTTGAGGAGGCATGTCAGACAACTAAGATGGTTCCAATGATTGCACTTTAACAAGAATCCCAACCGAGTTGGACCAACCCAGCTAGAACAAAGTGTGAATCTGAATGCAGTTGTAGGCACAGTCACTATTCCTCTTATTCTTTACCTTAAGTTAATGCCAAACAGAATTGACAAAAAGGAAAATAAAACATTCCAAATACAAGGAAAAGGCACTTCTGCATACCTACAACTTTAAGGTGTCAAAGATCACAGAAATATCCAGAGCACAATTACCATTAAGAGTCAACTTCACTGAGACATAAAACCACAAGGGAAACTACCTCCTACTAGTATGTGAACAATTAACTTTCTTATCACAGAAATTAGGTTTCATTGATCATGAAAGTATGCACCAAGCAGTCATCTACATACATACTACTCTATCAAGAGAAGTAAAGATCATACTTAAGCTCGTGCATTATCTTTATGCTGTCATTAATAAAACAAGTAAATGCTCAGTGGGCTTTCTGACTTCCAAGAAAATCCATTCTGCGGTAATATGAAGACAGACAACAAGGCTTGCTTCAACACTGTTTTCATGTTCAGTTGAGAATAAAATAATTTGAGAAAAAATTATGGACAAGTATTGTAAAGGCCAGGGCAATATTTTCCATGTATATGGATTCCTACTCTTTTCTGACTACCTTCATGAGATCATTTCTATTAATTCCCCCTTTTTTTTAGTACAGCTTTTTGATACAAAATGTACACCGTTTGAAATCATGTTGCCAAATGTCAACAAGCTGTATACAGAATGGCACCTCTGTCCCATGTCTAATGTCCATCTAATGTTTGTTTCGAGATCTTTAGTATGTCATGGATAAAAACAACAATGACAATGGCTAACAGTTTTGTGTCTCTAATGAGAGTACCACCTGGCCTTTCATCGGTTTACTTCAGTGCTCTGAAGTCACAGAGGGATTTGAAATTCCAATATAAGCCCGATAGACTAACTGTAAATCTACTTAATGTCCAATTACTAGCCAACATCAAGCCCAATTTCTCTGATTTGGCCAAGCTTTCAATTGATTCCTCCACCACGGACATGGCTCTAGACATCCTGGAGATCCCAGCAGAATTCAGTGAACACTGGTTTTCACTGACCTATCTGGTTGAGGTAATTTTGACTGAATACAGCATACTGGACACTGGTTACAGTCCATACTATATAAGTACGTACTAGGAAATTAAAAAAAAATTTTTTTTTTTTGAAAATTTGGCACTTTATCACTCTTTTAGTCTTATCTTACGTTTTTTTTTTTTCTTCTTCTTCTTCTTTTATTACTTAGCCAACTGGCTAAAACATCAAAATTTCTTGAAATATAAAGTTCCACTGACATGAGAAAAAACAAGGGAAACCTAACCAACTTTATCAGAATTACTTAAACTGATAAAAAAATCTACTCAAGTAATTTCAAACAACACAACAGCTGTATAATTTAAAAATGTGGTTTAATCATTTAAACTATTTCCCCAAGTTGACTTTGCACATTCATTGTGAAAAAAAAACAAACAGCAATCATTCCCAACTTCAGTTTTCAAATTGCACTTCTCCTTGCTGTTTTTTCCTTACTTTCTCCAGGCCAATAATAGATCAATACGTGACCTTATTTATTTTGCATTAATAGCTACGCAGACCATGCCCTGTGTGTGTAATAAGTAATGTCCAGATGGCTACTTTCTCAATACTCTGGTAGTACTATCAAATATTGACAATATTCACTTCTGTTGATTTTCCACAATCTAACTCATCAAATTATACAGAACTGAGCACAAATGTCTGAAAAGAGCCATTATACCAAGAAAACATTTTTTTACATCCAATGCCATATCTACGCATTCCATCGTTAGAGGGGTGAAAGTTCTACCTGGAGCATAGACTCTTTAAAACAGTAGATGTATGTATCAACCAAAATTATTTGGCTGTGTCGTGCACACGGAAAAGGGGAGAGTCTCAGTGAGGGTGATTCTTTCACATACTAGCTGGGTTCTTAAGCTGTCAGTCTCTCCAAACCCACATATACAGATGAAACGCTAAAAAAAAGGCCCAATGTGAAAAGGCCTTCACTCACCATGTGGAGATATTATACTGACTGGTTCTGTTGGTTTCTTGTAGTTCCATGTAACTAAACTGCCGTCAGACAGACTACACATAAACTGTTTTCCATCTTGTTCCCAGGTTATGGACCTCAGAGCCTGGAACAGGAATGGTACAACTCCCAAGCATGTCAGTGACACATTGCTGGATATAAAAATAAAATGTTCACAAAGATGTTTTAAGGAGGCAATAAAGTTTGATTGAAGCATTTCGTACCTGTGGATTATTAAAGCGATATTCTGCTGCCTTTGACTTCAGGTCCCAAAACACAACTACACCAGTCTCAAAACCAATCAAAAGCTGGAAAACAAAGCATATGAATGAAGGAATGAGTACATGAGAAATCTGCAATATCAAACAAATATAAATCAATTAATAACATAATCAACATCAAAAAATTTCAAAAACTACTTTGGTGGGCCAATTAAAAGCTGTCTAAAATATGTTTAACATCAACATTGGTTGATAGCAGTAATCCCCAGGTCCCAGTTTCACAAAAAAAACTTAAGTCAAATCCTTGGCTCAGTTGACTAGGATTTCCATGAGAGAACTGTTACACTGCTCCTGATTGGGTAAGATGTGCCCATGTGACCATGTAACCATGGTAATTAAGTTCTTAGCCAGTACAACTTAA